AGTGTGCAGACATGTCAGTACATGTCACAGACAAGTTGACGTGAGCAAGCAAGTGTGAAGCTGTAACTAAATCTTCTACATCCCTCCGGGGATGCCTGCAAGTGTGTGTGTGTGTGTGTGTACCTTCCTATAACATGGAAGCAGGGGGTCACGCCCATTTTGCATATACAATTTTCGTTTTGTGGCCATGACCAGCACAAGCAGGGGGCACCTGGGGCATGAAGAGGTCAGGTGCCAACGGAGACACCTCTTCATCGCATGTGATATCAGTTCGGGACGCAGAACTGACGTACCTGCAAAGACCACCCTTGTGTGGCAGATTTTTAAACCGCCCCTGTGCGGAAGATTAGACGGCCGACGTAGCAATAACAGTTTTCCTTGTCCCACATGAACACGAGCGGTTTGCAATCAGTGCATGTGTGTGCTTGACTTGACAGTTTTCCACAGGCAGCAGAAACACAGCATGGCAACCTGATCCCTTGTGAGTGTGCAATCAGCGCATGTGTGAGCGTGAGTTGGCAGTTTCCACAGGCAGCAGAAACATAGCATGGCAACCTGATCCCTTGTGAGTGTGCAATCAGCGCATGTGTGAGCGTGAGTTGACAGTTTCCACAGGCAGCAGAAACATAGCATGGCAACTTGACTCCTATAGAGTGTGCAATCAGCGCATGGGTGAGTGGAGTTGTCAACTTTCCACAAGTAATGGAAACACAACAGGACAGCTTGTTTCCTTGAGAGCCGGCTTGGGAGCAACGATTTTCATAAAATTGAACGTCACAACCGTCCGAAGTTCACAACCAAGACAAATGTGTGTGTATGAGTGCGTGTGTGGCCTTGATCTTGCTGTTGTCAAGGATGTTGGAATGAATGCATTTCGACATGGCATGCATTCTTTCGGCGATGGAGATGGAAATTGGGAGGGCACTATGCCACATAGGAAATGGGGAGCTAGACCTTTGGCACATCTTTGCACCTTCATCTAGATCGCTACGTCCCATCATGAAGCTAGTACCCTGGTATTCTGAGACAGCAGAGCCCTAGTTTCAATGAAGACACAAAATATGCAGAAGCCTGCGGGTATGCAATCGCAGGCCGACGATGGCCGCGGTATCTTGCAGTTCGTGGACAACCAGACCGAGGGTGGCAACCCGCTTGAAGTCCGCAAGATCCAAGGGTGGTGGATGGCCGTTGTATTTGACGCCACCCTGGCGCTATCTACAAGCATTCCATTTTGGGGTTTCTTAGCCTTGCTGTATTTGTTCTTGAAGTATTCTGAGTGGCAGACACACCTCTTGTTCGATTCGCGACGTCGGCCGTGCCGAGCATATCTCCGAGCCATGATTCCGATCACGCAGGTGGAAGCTTTTCTGTGGTTAGCCTTGTTGCTCTGCTGCTGCATCACTCCTCGGACCTACATCAACCGCTACAGAAGAGTGCTTCATGGTTCCGCCCAGGTAGGGGTTCCTCAACAAACGGGGCCTTTACAATCGGTGGGACATAGGTTAGGGAGAGTGCACCGGGTTTTTGGGTCGCTATTCAGGAGTCAACAGAGATCTTTCTGACAAATACCTAGGTGATGAGAGAGATCCTGGCGGAGGCAGAGGTAGGAACTATCCTGACAGTTTGCTTGCTCGGTGCCACCCTTCTCTCTCGGATCTTGTTCGTCAGTCAGTTGAGGATTGCAGCGCATGTATCTAAGTTATGCTCATGAATAGCTTCTATGGTCCTTTTTTGTAAAGCTGAGCAGTTGCAAGGGTTACATTGTTAAATTCCTATTATATCTGTTCTCCGACTAGGTATATCGTCACAGGGAGAAGCTTCTTGAAGATGCTTTCGAGGAGGACCTGGGCCAAAAGAAGGCAAGGCGCTTTTGGTCTAAATTGAAAGACCGTTATCCTGCATACTTTCGCCGGGAGCCACCTCCCCGCAGTGCTCGAAGGCTACAGGCAAGTGCTAGGCAGCCCTGGCTGTTTGTTTGGGAATTCAAAGACCCCATCATGAAAGCCTTGGTTGGCTTCTCCACTGTGGCACTGATTGTCTTACTGGCCGTTCTGCAGTTTCGCACGGATTGGCCCAAGGCTCATCCAGACCAAATTCCCGTATATTTGCAATGGAGGAGGAGTTGTCCAGCGGTCAACGAGACAACCTATCATCTCCCGCTTATTTTCGCCAGAGTTTATATTGCGACGTTTTACTGGCTTATCGTGATTGGCAGAGTTGTAGACGTCGCCGAGCAATTCGAGAAGCGAGCAGATCAAGCATTGTTATTTAAGTGCGAGGTTATCAAAACAATGGTACTTGTTATGCCATGCACCCCTAAGGTATGAAGTTCTTCATGGGAAAGCCCCCAAGTTCTTAAAGCGCGGCGTACATCTTCAAAAAGCCCCAGGTTTCTGACCATCACATCTGCGGAAGTGGAAATGTGGGCTGAGGAGGGGTATGAGCGCAAGGACCTGGGTCGGATAAGGGGCTACTGGGTCATCACCGACTAACTTCTTTTTTGTGGGGGGATAAGTTTTGCAATGGACAAATTTCATGACACCAAAACGGCCCAGGTTACATGGAACAGCCTGCGGAAGGCCAACCCGAAACCATGGAACAGGCAGCGTCAGAGCGTTCTAAGAAGCTTTTTTGCAGTTGCAGTGTTTTTAAAATCATGCGGGGCTGTCCATGGAACACACCCAATCTACCGAACGAGTTGTGAGTTTCGATGGAAGTCTCAAGCACCCAGGAAAAGAAGCGTTTGTGGCGACCAGCTCAAGGGTGAAACCATCAGCAAGGCTGAAGCTCACACAGCGCAGGAAAAGGTTGAACCAGACTTGCAGGACTTGGGTTGGTGAAGAGTGTGTGGTCTTTTCCCTCAGTTGTTGTTGGTGTGCGGCTGATGCTGCTGCTTCTGCTGCTGCTCCCAGACCTCACAAGCTACACCTGCTCCGCTTCCACTGCGCCTCCTTAAGTCCTAGTGTCACTGCTATTGCTGCAGTCACAACACAAGCTAGAACGACGACAGCAGCAGCGTCGGCATGCCGTGGGCAACGGCGGCGGCAGCTGCATTGTCTGAGTGATGCGATCATTGGTCATTGTCATCGTGTGCTGCTGCTGCTGCTGCTGCTGCTGCAGCAGTGCGTGGAAAAAGATGTGCAGGATCTGCTGTATGACAACATCGGGGAAGATCGCTTGGATTTCAGCAAGACAGAGGACATCGAGGCGTGGTGGCATATGCGGCGCTGCTTGCTGGGCCATCAGAAGTTCGAAATTTTTGGGTTTCCTGTCACCAGTAATCAGTAACCCAACCCAAAAGCGCTCTTGATGAACTCAGACAAGAGGCTACTTGCAGATGGACTTCCTGGATTCCTCAGCGACAATGGAGTGTGCGGCAGCGGTGGCTTAGGTTGCGTGGGAGCTTCTGCAAACTATCGCTGTATACTCCTCACAGGGGACCCCTTAATGTCATTGGTGTCGCTGGACCCCAGAGTCACTGATAGGTTTGAAGACTTAGGAGATCTAGGAACCTAATTATGGGCTCAAATACAACGCTTGTCTTTCAGATGTCCTCTGCGGAGAGTTCTCAGCGGAGTCGCTCCTTGAAATGTTTCCATGTAAGTAGATTGTACGAATCATGCAACGTGGTAAAAGAGCAAAAACACAACACATGGATGATACACGACCATAAGCTCTTGCGGCCCTAACATTCTGAAAGCATGATCGTGTGTGTCTACTTAACAACTAACCTGAATTTCAGCAATGACTTCTCAAGCTTCATGACTTTCTTCGGTGTTCAACGGCTTTACATGCCTGTATCTCAGAGCACAGAACCTCAACCTTAGGCCTCCAAGCTCTGAGCCCTCAGTGTATCAACTTACTGAGGTACCTCCAAGCCAGCCTAGGGAGCTAAAGTTTTTCAAACTTACCCCTCAGAAACCCCCAACCGGGACTCTCGTAATCCCAGAGTAGACAAACCCTCGAAAATCTCTATCGTCCCTCAACAAGACCCTTGCCTTTTTGAGAACACCGCAAGAAATTGTCATTTTGAAAACCCCCCCAAGGTAATCGTCTTGCTCATCTTGAACTTTGCAGTGGCAGGGGTCATGGCGTGGTGGCAGCATGACAGCGATGTTCGAAAGGCAAAGTAATCGGTTGCTTACTCAGGGTTTAGGTGGTGTAGGGCTTCGGGGTTTTGAGTTTGGCGTTCCAAGTTGGGTTGTAGCGGTTTGGGGGTTTAGGACGTGGGGTGCAGTTTGTGTTTCTGGGATTCGTATCAACAAAGGGTTTCTTTTGCAGGAAGCCGTGATCGCAAGTAAGCAATTGGTGGGTCGGCTCTTCAAATGCTATGGACATAAGGATGCATAAGAAGCGTGAGTTTCTCAAGATCATGGAACCCTTTGGAAGTCCATTTTTACACCCCATGAGCCCCATGACCCCTCTGAAATCCCTACATGTTTCGGTCCCTCGCCGTCCCCCCCCCCCCGGATGCCCCCAGGCGGTGACGGCTCCTGGTATTTGGCTGGTGTTTGTGCTGTGTGGGACACTGATCTATTTGATGTGGATCCTTGGCCTTTGTCGAAGAAATCTGAGATGCTACTCACAATCGTCGATGAGTTCTGTATCAGCTTTACATATGCTATGCACAAAAACCATGAACAACCAATGTGATCCTTGTAATTAGACGAACCGCTTTGAATGGCTTGCGGGCCCAATTTCAGCCTGAGATTTCTTTTCGGATTTTCTGAAGCCGACACCAGTATAATCCTCAAGGCAGGACCCATCTAATCTTTTTTCAATCCTATTCATCTTGGCGCCGTAATTTCAGAAGCCCCGCACTTCGATGACCCAGGATCGTCCTGTAAGCTTGCGTGAAAACAAATTCTTTGCTGGCTCGTGACTCCATGCATCTGCGTCAGCTCGAACTTAACCAGTTGAAGAAGTTGCAGGACCAGCGCGTGCCAAATAATCTTCGCAGATGGCCTAGGCACCTTAAACAGTCTAGGAATCCAACCGAAGTAAATTGGTGGGGCCTAGTGACAGTATGTTCTGTTTTTTCTGTGGATCTTTTCTGTACGCGTACGCTGGCAATAGGCTCCTGAAGAGATCGCCCTGTTGAAGGATTGGACTACAGAAGGGCAGAAGACCTTCACAACAGAGGAGCAGCTTTCAAGAATCAAAATCTGCGCGGACTGTGGCGCCCGAGTTGCTTTGCTTACTTCGATCGCGGCGCAGCTTGAGGCCCGGTATGTTACCCCTATATTACCCTATACCATATAACCCCTATATGGCCCCTGTATAACCTTAAACCCCAACCCTTAAACCCCAACCCGAAACCCTAACCCCTATATGGAGGCCCGTGAGAACAAGCAGACGCTCTTCGGCATCACCGTCACGGTCAGTGTGCGCAACAGCTGGCTTGTCTCGCTTTTGCTGGTCTTCCTTCCTTTGCTATGGTCGGTAGTGAAGCCTTATGTCATGACAGTTGATGCCAGAAGCCTGGCAGAGCTAATTGTCCCAAGCTCTGCCAACAATCAGACTCACAACTAGTGTCAACTCCTGCAACATGCTGGGCACTGCTTTCGCGAAGAACAAAGAGTTGCCTGATGAGAGTGCATTCAGATTTGTGGCTTTAGAGAGAGGCAAGCAGGCCAGTTTAGTCTAGGAGAATGTAAAGACGAGCTTGGCAGCTTCTAGTTATGTAGGCCGGTAGGTAGGCTCAGGGAGGTCAGTGCAACGCCTTGTGCTGGAGCTGTCTGTGCTTCAGGGGAACTCGCACCCTGAGCTGCATGTTCCGGGCTTTTGGGAGGGCCCCAAACCAAATGATAGTGATGTCGAAGTCACCCAATGCCAAGCTACCGTTCTGGAAAATGGCGCCAAATACGCCCTTGAAGGTGCTTTCTGCTGCTTCGGGGCTCAGGTTTTCTGGCTTGGGTGAGATCCCTCAAGCCCTACAGAGACGCCAAGGGGTTGTCTTGTACGTCTCAAGTGAAGAGGATCGTTTTTCACGTGGACCCGCCCCACCAGCTTCTCAGGATTGCCCCTCTGAAGTCCTTTCAGAGGGACCTCCCTACACATTCGTAACCCTCACATATCCTTAGGGTCTGTGGCGGGTAAACCCCTAAAGTGAGAAACCGGCATGGTCACGTTTTGTTGATTAGTTAGCCGCGGTCTGAATGCCAAGGTCGCAGTTGGAAGCGCTTACCTGAAGATCCATGTGGGGTTTCCGAAATAGGGACCCTTTTCAGAACTCCGTCACATAAGGATTTAAGATATCATAGGTCTATATTCGGACCTCATATGTATGGAAACAAGAGTTGATATCAAATGTATAGTGCATTTTTACAGTTCAGTAGTATAGTTGTAGCCAACTAGAATCTGCAGCGTGCTTGGCAAATGACAACGAAGAGGCCTTGGATTACAGGTCCAGAAAGCATATGGGCGTGTGGCTCGTACTTCAGCGAGGAGGAACAAACCCCATCATTGTAACACCTCCTCTCTCTGAGTGATGACTCGGCAGCTACCTGTTGACAACCATCAGCAGAGACCCGCGCCACAATCCCTTGACAGTCCCCACATGCACTTGGTCCCTGAGGGTCGCCATATAGCAAAACCATCAGTCATCCTTCCGGAGGTCTTGGCCCAAAAGCCAACGGTTTTATGTCTGGAACTTGCCAGTTGCCAGTTTGGGATGCATATTGGAAGCTTACAGAGGTGTTGCAGATAGGAGAGTCATACGTCCTCCTTGATCTCTGCTGCCTGTTGACGACGAGTACGAGTTGCTCCCGCATTCTAAGCTGAAGGCCAAAGGCGAACTCTACACTCTGCACCTGAATGCCAGGACCTTACATGCCTAAAAAGAGAACCCCAAGCCCCAGATGCGCGCATGGCGAAATGCAGCTAGCATCGGTAATCCAAACTCGCCGCGTTGGCGTTGGCCAAGGATGTCGAAAAGCCTTGGCAACGTGATCGATCCCTTGGAGGCCTGAAGTATGCGCCAGGAACCTCCCTAAGCTGGTTTTCATGCATGAATAGGCCCGGACTCTGCAGGGTGAAGTCAGTCATTTATGTTGACCACCGGCCACATGTTAATGCGAAAGCACACCCCTCCCTGCACCAGGTACTCTTTCCGAAAGGTGCGCTCAATTCGCAAATCTGACTCTGAAACCAGCCTTGGACAGGTTGTAACGACCTCACCTATCCTCACTCAACTCGTGGCTTAGAAAATGGTCCCAACATGGCATTTCTTCAGGCCTTGGACCAATGGAGTGATTGCGGCTGGTCAGTTCTAGAGCACTACCTGAGCCCCAAACCCCAAATCCGTGTTTTCAGTTCATGCCGCATCTTGTGGCTGGCAGGTGATTGATGGCATCTCCCTTGAAGACTTGCACAAAAAGCTCTACGAGGGAAACCTTCCTGAGAAGGACTGATGGGCCAAGGGCTTGGGTGAGAGGATACCGCGCCAGGGTCACACGCCTTCAACCTCAGGTGCTGCCGGTGTTCAGAAGGTGAAAGGCTGTTATGTCCAGAAGGCACTCCAGGGTCAGTGTCGCCCTGTGGGGTGAACTGTGGCTTCTTAAAGAAGACCCCATTCTGTGTCTAGGCCCGGCGGGTACACTTTGCCACGGTGACTGCATCACATCAAAGCATCTCTGAAAGCCAATGCTCAATAGTCACTAGTCCCTCCCAATCCGGTGCATCTATACACCATCCCAACATCATCTCCACACAGTCGATACCTCCCCGTGCTGTCAGGAGATCGAGAAGGCCAAGAAGGGTCAGAAGGAGGACTACCCCGACGGCATCCCAGAGCCTCGCAGTCATCTGGGTGATTCAGGAGTGTGTCAAGATGATTAGCAATACTTCCCAAAGAGGACCCCTACACTCTCCGTAGAATCTCACATATCCGCAGGGTCCCTTAGCACACCTCTTGTTGAGAATCTAGGTTCAGGGTTCTCGCGGATTCACAACTTCAAGGCTTGGTTTGGGGCTTGAGGGTTTTTTTGTAGGGATGCTGGGCTTGGGACTTCATGGCTCTGCAGGGATAACAGAGGACCGGACATGAACGGGTTAACACTGGGAGTATGATTGTTAAGAGGCGATATAGTCCCAACTAACTGATACGTCTAGTTTGCTGGCATGATCGTAAACATTCGCAATTCATGCGGGGAGGGGAGTTTCCCGTGTTATGGGGAGGGCAAAAAAGCCCCAGCCTCCTAATTATCTCAAAAGCCTGAAGCCCTACACCCTGAATCTGAGACCACAAGGCCTCTCACCGCTACTCTCTGCATCTTAGACCCTAGGCCCGCAAACCCTGAACCCTAAACCAGACCAGACCTACATCCGCTGAGGAGTGCGGTGCAGATGCACTGCGCTTCGGCCTTTTGGCCTACACGCTGCGGCTGGGATTTGGATGTGCTGCTTAGGGTTTGCAAGTATTCTGGGATGTAGCCTTGAAAGGATCAACCTCCCCCAAGCTCATATGGAACTCCATATGGGGATGGATAGGCTAGGGGTTCTAGGAAGGGTGTCCAAGCATTCTTGGATGTATGTAGGATAGTTCATTTTCCAAATGACATTGGTCCATAGTCTCCTTCTTTCAGGGTTTCGTGTCAGTTTGAGGGAGGGTACATGGGCATGTATGGTGGTAGAGGGACATGGGCAGGCTTGTGGTTGAGTATCATGGTGCGAAGTATTTGGGACGTGCGAATTGGGACCTGAGGGACAACCAGGGATCCTATAGGATCTTACTTCTGTTCGGTTTGGGGCCCAGTGACAGTTTGTGGGTTTGCAGTCTGGACTTCCCAAAGGCTGCACCACGAACTGGTCGTTGTCATTCTACTCTACAAAAACGGTGGGGCTTTGCATCCTTTAGCTTTGTCACTGCAGGGTTCACGTACCACCCAACCATATTGCAATTATGCTTGCAGGCTTGATGCGAAAACACCGAGAATGTCTTTCTCAAGATGCTAAGCTTGGTTGTGGTAATCTATTAGTCAGCATGCCCTCACCACGAAACACAAAGGCAGGGTCGAAACGTGAACCTCGACATCAACCGCGTGGTGGGCTACAGACACTTCTGCAATAAAGTGTGGAACGCCACCAGGCACCTTGGTCCAATTGGATTTCCTCTTTATGGGCTTTCAGGGCTTGGGTTTGAGGTTTTGGGGGTTTCAGTGTACCTCAGGGCCTCCAGCGTGTTTTGAGCTCTCATGACCAAGATGTGCCGTACATCTTGGACCCTACAGCTCTTCCAAGCATGCCTAAGCACATTCCGCTTGGCTTCAATCTCATACCATAGTTGAGGGACTCCAAGCTCTCAAAGCCTCAAAGGGTTCCACCTTCAAGCCCTAAACCCAGCAATTCATTCATACCACCCCGCTGAATCTCAAGCGCAAAGTCCCAAGCGCTAGATCCATACATCGCAAACCCGGCCCAATCTCAAAACCGCATAGTATGATCTCCTGTAAGAAATAGTAGTCTCAAACCAAAACCCTTCGTACAATTTCTCATGATGAGGGTGGCCTCTGGATTGCAAGGTTTTGCCTCAACCCTGGTCCCTGAAGTCCTAAGCTCGAGTCCCGATCAGCAGCGGTTTTGGATTGTGTGAAGTTTGGGCGAAATTAGCCTGCATCCACACTTTGTTTGGGGATGCTGATCTGCGGCCCTAAATACTTTCTGGGAGTAGTAACAGGCTGGTTGTCCTAACCTGTTAGCCTCATGTTTTAAGCTCCTAATCCAACTTGCTTTTGCTGGAACAGATTTCTTATTAAACTGCTTTATCAAGGAAGCCAGGCAATCATCCTTGCAAGGGGGTAGCCCAACAGCTAACCCGAGCCTCAATAGGGGGGACGGCATGATTTATCTGGAGTTTTCGGGCCCCCTAGAACCAGAAAGCAGCTCCTATCGAGCTTGATTTAAAAGAACCACTGAGCTCTCCTATTGAATTTCATTTATGCCAACTACTGAGCTCTCAAACTGAATTCAATCTACATCGACTACTGAGCTCCGCTACACTTGTTCTATGCATCTTAAGCCCTTCCGAACTCAACTGAAACCTGTCTGATGCTCTTCCCAACCCCTGTGGAAGTCCTCCAAGGCTCGGGCGAAACTCTAAATTCTGAATCCACACATCCCTAAGCCTGTAGATTTTGTTGAGTTTCCCCAAGGTTTGGGCTGATGTATTTCGGCAGCGACTTCACCTTCCCGGGCTCCCTGCGCGCGGATCAGGCTTTGGCCTGGGAGGACAATCCACCCCAAAACGGGGAAGAGGGTTGAACGATTAGGTTTCGTGGGGGAGGGGTGGGGATTTGTGTTGCTCAGGGTCCAGAAAACTTTGCTGCATTAAGCCTCAGCCTGAAACTAGGGCGCCAAGCCCCCATTCACTCCTGTTCATTCACATTTGGAGGATCGATGGATCCTGTCGCGACTCTCCTTCTGCGCCCAGAAGGCCGGAGGATTCCGCAGGGGTGGTTGTCATTGACGGATGTGCTGCATTGCTTGCACAGGTTTGGAGGGTGGATCCACAGGTTATACGTTGGTTTTAAGTTCTTCTCTCTAGGAGGCTTCTGGTGGTTCAACCAGGATTTGCAGCGGTTTTGATCACGTAATTGGCTCCACATGTGGGTGGGAACCCTTAGATGACAAAAGCCCCAAACCCCATCGCCAAATTCCAAAAGCCGAGACAAGTGGCTCTTTACGGGTAACAAGGTGAGACTCTGTCATCGGCTTCGCACACTTTACAGAATAATCCTTGTTTTTTCTTCCCATGGTATTTGGGCGTGGCAAGGCCAATGACGCCATGCAGAAGTACGAGTTCGCCAATGCGACAACAGCGACATACAGTTTCTTTCTGTATGAGCTGTGCGGCTTGTCTTTTTGGGACCCAACTCCAGAAACTCCCTGAGTACATGTTCGGATTAACCAGGGGTTTGCAGGGTTGCTATGATAAAACGAGTCATTTTACTCGGGGACTCCCGGGAGAGTTTTGCTTACGGGCGGCTTGAGTCTTGGGCTCATGTGACGTGGCTTGAATATGCCTTCCTTCATCGTATTGTAGAGGTCTGTGCATCTGATGTTTATGAAGGGGCCGACTGTACTTTGAGTCAAGCAGTTGGCAGATCTTTCGTGAAGCGAGGCTTCTATGGGGTATGTATCTAGGGCTGTGCTTTTGGAATTTTCTGCGCGCTTGACTGGCATGAACGTAGAGAATTCGACATGTCGCGTAGCTATGTCTCTTTGAACCCCATTCGAAGAGGGAAGTAGTCAGACTCTCAATTCAATAGAGGTCGAGTTGAGTCCTCCATGCAGCACTTGAACTTTTGCAGACCTGCTGTGAATGCGCGGTCAGAATGCATGACGCGTCATCGGCAGTGCTTCACGAAGGGCTTATTGGCTATGGTGACCCCCAATATTCGACACCAAAGGAAGCTTTCCAGACTTCGTCTCAGGATCCTTCACGGTATTTTTTTGCTAGATCGCGGCAGGGAGCAAAATCAACTCGAGCAAAAGCCACCGGCAACCATGCCGGTCTGAGCTTGGGCCATGTTGCTGCCCGCTGTTAATTTCGGGTATTGGCATTCCAGCGGGTATTGCGCTGCATGATGCTGCATGGATGCAAAGCAACAGCTATCTTGGACTTTTCGGCCCGTTGCTGGGTCCTAATTCGCAAGTGAACCACATCGATAGCGACAATTACGCGCAACATGCATTCCAATCGACATCTGAAGCCCAAGTCCTGGTACTCGACAGCCAGCTAGCCTCTCACTAGACACGTCATTTTCCGACAAAGCGCTGGATTCAAAACCACACCAGCAGCCACAAAGTCCACAAAGCCCCAAGACCTCCAATCTGGCATCCCATATTCTCAGCACCTGAGGTGACGTGTATCTTGAACTGCTGAAACCCCGTTTCTACGGGGAGACCCAAGATGAGAGCATTTTGAAAGACCGGCAGGTGGGCATAGTTGTAACACTTTGTGTTTTTGAAGTCTGGTTTTGTTAGAGTTAATGCGGGATCCTTCCTCATTAAAGGCATCGTAGGCAACATGGAGTTTGATTGCCTTAATCACGGCTTTCCTCGGGCTTGTGCTTTTATCCACGTTCCCACTTCACGGCTCAAAAAGGGGCCATACATGGGCTTGCTGCCTTCGGGTTCATCGAACACACTACAGCCCCATGTTTGGTGATATAAGAAGGGATCCCTCTTAACGTTGTGAAGCTCCCAAAAGCTAGCCTGCATATCTTAGCCCTCAAGCCCAACCGCTGAATCCGAAACCCTCAACCTTTAACTCTGCACTTGAGTTCTAATTCCCAAGAAGTCCCCACACATCTCTGCCCAAAGGTGGCCAGAGAAGTGCTCTACGTGTGCCTTGATTGGTCCATGCGCTTGATGCACCCTCTGCTGCCGCACCGAAGCTGCACACGGCTCAGGATACATCACGATTTGAGACGGGTCTACCCAAGGGGTTCCATGTTGCACAGCAGCTGCGCTTGGGGCTCATGTTCTCGTTACAGGGCACCTCGAGCTGTTGGCTTAGGGTGGGGTAGAGGGACTATGGAGGCGCTCGGGGTTCAGGCTTAAGGAGACGTAAGGGCAAAGGGTTTGTTCGAGCTTATGGCTTCCGCGCTGCAGAGTTGAGGACGGAGAATGACGGAGGGGCTGTGAAGGGTTTAGGTTTCAGGGTGACGGCTTCAAGTAGTATACCTATCGTCCTAGTTTGCATAAGAATTCTCCTTCACATCACTTTTTCTTCGTCCGCTTACATGCGTCAAGCTCGCACTACATACACTTGATGCAAGCATGCTTGGGCAGGTTGTTTGAGCGTGAGACCGCGAAGTATATCCAAGGTACCTGACTGAGGAGCTCTATCAAAGGCTGCCCCCCTCACCCACGAAGTGCGAAAGCGTGACGCTGCTCTGTCCGCTTTAGACTTCGACAAGTTACGGGTCTTCCTCAGGTTCCAATCTAAGGATGAGCCACCTTTGATGGACTCTAGCTTTGAGGTGATTTGACACTTGCGCAAACACGGGTAAAGGGCGGCCTGGGATTCAAACAGGCTGTTCAGGGACTTTGTTTTGTACTTTGCTGGTTCTCGACATTTGAATGCCTACCTTCACTGATTAGGCTTTCAGGTGACGCTGCCTACATCGGATTAGGGTTTATGATCTTGGTGAGAAGGTGGGGCTGCCCTAAACCCCCAAGTGAGCCTTAAACTAGGCTAGAGCCAGCGCATCGTCAGGCCTTCCATCACTGCTCAAGAATCGCAAGGCCCAAAGTCCCTCGTTTTGGCTTCGTTGAGGGCGCTGACGTAGCTTATACATGAGCTTGTGACCTTCTCAAATCAAAACATGCAAGTATGCCAAAGGTTGTCATTCATGTGTTTATTTCTGAAAGCCCCCCACATGTGCAGCCACCAATGGCCGTTCACCGAGGATCGCGCCGTACCCGGTGCACGTGATCGCCTGGCAGAACGAAGCCCTAGAGAAAGAGATGGAGGCGAGGTTTAGGATTTAGGGCCAGAGTCCACTGCCTTGGTTTATGGTCTACTGATATTGTTAAGGGTTTTAGGTTTTGGGTTTGGGGGCTGAGGGTTCAGGTAAGCTGGGATAGAGATGTAGCACAGAACACAGCTGGCAGGTTCACGTGCTCATAATGTAATTGCAAGCAGCATGACGACATGACGACAATGGTGCTCAACTTTGCACTGTAAAGCAGATGAAGATTGCCTTGGCTTGTGTGTGGTTGCGCTGTCCGTTCAGCCTTGGGCAGGGTTTAGGATAAAGGTGACGCCTTCGTCTTTACCTGATTCGAGACTGGACCGTAAAGCCACCTACAAACATATGTAGGCTCAAAATCCTCAAGTCTTCCCCCTTCCCAACGCATGTGCAGGTAACCAGCGAAATCGCCGGGAAGTTCCGATCCCAGCAACTTGTCGGGCCAGTTAAGGACCTAGAGCAGTCCCTCACCGGGTTTCTGTGAAACTCGCGATGAATCGCTGTTGAGCAATCATTGGAGCCTACCTTGCCCTTTTCTAGCAGGGACAAGTTGGATTAGGTTCTGTTGTTTCACTAGTATACAGCGCATGCGAGTACAAGATTTCGTAAGAGGCCCCCAGCTAACGACTCCCACCTTTGTAGAGGGATTGTCTTAGGTTCTGTTTGTCTATGGCTTGGTAACCTTCTTGGGCCCGCACCCGGGCACGGGTCCTTCCCTTCTCACCCACAACCAAGCTTTAATCCTAGACTATGTGTCAAGGAATGCCCCCAACCCAAGACATCCATGCTGGAAAATTGGATTTTCAATTCACCATACTCAAGCACCTCGACAGCAGCCACCATTGTATTTACAAAGACTACATAGTCCACAAAAGCTCCAATCCCTAGACCCCTACGCTAATCCCTTACAACCCTAAACCCCATGACCCAAAAAACCTTAGAAGCACACAGAGGGAAAGGACAAACTCAGCCCCAGGAAGCAGTCCTTGGGCTTCTCGCCTGGAGCGCGGCCTGAGGATAGCGGGTGCTGTCGGGCAAGTTTCAAGGAGTTTCGGGTTTTGGAGTTCAAGGTATAGCCTACACTTGACAGGGACATGAAAAAGATTTAGGGGATCAAAACAGATTCAAGATGTACCGGCTTGTGGCCCTAGCACCTAAAAGAACATCGTAGAAGATCCATTTTAGATCTGCAGAGTTCTAGATTCCGAGGACGGAGCCTTAGTTCAAGTGGGGACCTTGATTGTATATGTATCTATATATATGTGTGTATATATATATATGTATATATTTCTGTATATGGGTTGGTTTGAAAGCCTTTTCACCCCTTGATCCCTAGACCCAAAGCCCTGCAACCCAAACCCTAAGCCTCGACCCTGAAAACCCAAACCGTCAAGCTTCACTCTAAACACCAAGCAATTCCTAGGTCCTGGGCCCTGGAGCTCTGCGTCCAAAGCTTAGACCCTAACCTTCAACCTTGAAGCCTTTTAGTAAGGCCTCAACCTGACACCTGGAACGTTGAATCCTACACCCTTGCAAGGCTGAATCTTAAACCCTGAATCCCAACCCCGCATATCCAAAACAAGCAACATCTTCGACCCTACGCTGACATACTAAACCCAAAGCCCTGAAACCGAAGTAAAGCCTAACCCTGAATCTTGAATTCTAACCTTCAATCCCAAACTGTTCCAACCTGCACCCTCCATCCTAGTCCGTAAGCCTTGAATCCAACATGAAGGTTTCCCAAAGTTATTGGGACCATTTTGGGGTCCCAATAGTGAGGACTGATGTGGAGAATTAAGGTCTTCCCTATAACCTTTGGCATTTAGCTCCTAAAGCATCGGCCTGGAGGCCTACATCCGGCACTCGGACCCCGAGTTGCGAACAATGGCCGCTGGGCCCGCTCTTAGGGATAGGCTTCGGGGCTATCAGGTTTAGGGTTTAGGGCTTAGGGTTTAAGGGTGATTACTGTTGGGTTTAGGGCTCAAGGGTTGGGCAGGACCTGCTTCAGGGTTTGGGCTTTTGGGATGCTAGGAGAAGCTTCAGGCTCGGTGTTCCACTTTTTTCGGCCATCTGCGTTCAGGCCAGTAGTCCAAAGATATCATGCCAAATTCTGCAAGGCATCCCTGACCACCCCTGTGGTTCTCAGGTATCTTCTTCCCCCATAATGGAGAACCACATGGAAAAGGCACAGGTTATGTACGGTTTTCTGTATACCTATATTATAGACACACACCTAGTTTCATTTTGGGCAAGGGTCGGAAAATCATGTAGACCTTTGATATCGGCGGAACCCTACTTCAAAGGGGTTCGGCTTTGATCAGACAGAGCCTTGGGAGATGGCCAGCTTCGAGAGACATCTAGGCGGCAGCGAAGGGCTACATGGTGCTTAGAGAATTGCAGGGCTATTCTAGCGTTGCTATTTCAGTACCTTTCCTTCTCCTCAAACTAACATGGAACTCCGCACAGGCCCTTTCTTAAAGGGTTGTACTTGAAACATTTTCAGGGTGCATGTGGATCAGTGTCAACCCAAGTTGGAAATTGCCTAGCTCCCCAGCAAGGTGGACAAGCTCAAGAACCAGATCTCGCGAATGGCTGCCGTGGGCACCATCACGGACACTCGACATCCGTCGGAGAGCAAAAGCTTTTTAGGGGGCTGAGGTTTTCAGAAAAACCAGGCCTCTTAAGCTTTCCTCAAAAACCTCAACCCCTAAATCCTAAACTCAAAGCCAAATTTAGCCGAAAGCCCTGAGGCACAGACGCTAAATCCAACAACCCTGCTGTGAGGTGCTTAAGGAGGCGGATAAAGACCCCAGCCAAACCATGCGCGATGTGGTGAATGAGAGCCTCGCCTCTCAGGGGCTTTGAGGGCTTAGGGTGTGGGGTTCGAGTACGAAGGCTTGACGCTTAGGGTTGCGGGGGCTCAAGACGGACTCTGGCGGACTGTTGGACACGATTCCAGAAGATTCTATGTGATTGCAGATGATTACGCGGGAGAAAACAAAACAAAGGAGGGTTACGGTTACATGGGACAATCAAGGACTACAGGGGACAGTTGGTTTCTTGTGCCTCCTACTGGGGGGTTGGTGGGGCAGTAAGTATACATGTAACCCTTTATAAGCCCTATGAAAACCCCGATAGTTCAAATTATCAACCTAAGTCCCCTTGACCCTCCAAGTAGGGATGGTAAGGGACCAGAAGAGCGGCGTAGGGGTTCCAAGGGCGTAGGGACCGTAAGTTTTCCTGGTTCTATGCATTGTGCTTTCTCCGCGCGGAGGAAGAACTTGAGAAGCACTAAACTGGATGGTGGGGCGTTTCAGAAGGCTCCTCATTAAATCCTGTTGGTTCCGGGCTTGAGGATCTGGAGCTTCTGAGTTCGGGGGTTACAGGATGACTGTCTGTGAGACTCCTAGGTTTAAGGGCGAACGGTTTTTGGGGTCATGCTTCTGTTCTGTAGAGGTGTTCATGAGGACCGAAGCAAAGCTCGAGTTACAAGCAGGCCACGGCTCAAAGTAGGGACTATCGCTACTTTTTGGAGCACACGCTTTGCTACTGAAGCTGCTGCTGACGAAAATCATTTTTTGTTTAAAGCCCCAAATCTCATTCAAACCTTCAGCCCTGGACTTTAACAGATCCCCCCCACTACCCACGAGGATCTGAGTGCCAACATTCAGGACCCCAGGAACCCAATAATAATCCCCAGGCCCTAAACTAAACTCTAAACCCTGCTCCATCATGACAAACTCTTTGAGCCCTATACTCAAAACGTAAGCCCTCCTCCCGGATCGAAGGAAGTGCCTCATCTACACCAAGGTGGAAGGACTGGACCTGTCAGGACGGATGGGCCGATGTAGGGCAGAAGGCTTAGTCTAAGATTTAGGGTTAAGGGATTAAGGCTTGGGCTGTGGGATTGAGGGTCAAAGGTGCAGTGTTTTGAGTGCAGGCTTTGACTAGAGTTAGCACAGGTACACTTCAGTCTTGGCATGATTTCCGGATCTTTCCCAAGATGTGAAGTGGGGTCTATAGGATTCAGGGACGGACGGCCGGGCACTCGGGCCTACCATGAAATTCCCCACTGCTCATTTGCTCGCAGGCCTAAACTCTCAAGCGACGTCCTAAACTGCCCGCGGCAACCTGTAGGACGGTTAGCGAGTTTGTGCCGACAATCCCAGAGAGTCTGCTTTCGGCTGAACGTGGGTTACTGAACGCTGAATCTTCACGTCAGAGACGGCCGTATACACAGAAGAAAATGATGTACCCAGAAAAGTTCTTCCCAAGGTTAATTTTCGCTTCCTGTGATTCATGTACGGTCCTTCCATGACGCACTGGATCTTAAACCGTAAGCCCTAAACCTTAAACTCCAAAGCGTAAACCCTCAACCCAAACCCTCATATGCTCCCCCCTAAACAGAGCTGGCCAGGCGAGAAAGTCAAGCTTGAGAAGAAAGTGACCTCCGCAGAAAAGATGGTGGAGTCCTACAAGTCACGCGTCTTAACCTTTAGGGGTTGGAGTTCGGGATTTTGGGTTTAGGATTTGGATGGTGGCTCTGGAATCTCTGGTCTATGAATTTTCGTGGAGGTGTAGAGCTTGGGGCTTGCGGCTTAGATTTGTTTGGTGTCTGAGGCTTTCGGGTTCTGCATGGTGGTGAGGGTGGGTGAGCACCCATTTGTAAATGAGAGAGGCAACGGTTTGCAAAATTCCCACCGTCGCCTGCGTCATCTGAATGATTCGTGATGTTCTACGCTTCAGTCCCCGCCTCTGGGCGCAGAGAAGGGTTTTTCTCGGGAATAGGGTTGTATGGGGGGCATCAGGTTGCATGAGGACCTGTACCTGTCCGAATCTTAGTATGTCACCTATATAACCCCTATGCATTTCTAGAATGCCTGCGCAACCTTTGTAATCCGGGCGAACACCAATGGATTCCTTCCTCCTGATCTGAATCTTTCGCGAACTCAACATCCCTCAAAACCACTCGGGAATAATCTGAATTTCGTAGAACACCCGAAAGACAGGTCTTTCAGAACCAGCTCCCCTTCGACCTGGAACGCAAATCCTGCAATTCCAACACTGGATAAGGCATTTAGAGCATTGTACAGCCCCATGCCTATCCTTGAGACACCCCTTAGTCCATAAGCTTCAAACGCACGCTGAACTCTCAATATCCATGAGCGCTAGTCCCAGTACTTGAGTCCCTGAACTTTGATCCTAACCCCCTAGCCTTGATCCACTCCCTTGACCACAGTTTTGAGATGGGGATTCTGGGTCACTCTTGCCCCAGCATAGAGCAACTTTGCATTCTGCGTTTGGTTGTGATATTCTATGGCACGGATACATTAAAACTCGTTCATGTATCAACCACCCCGAAACATGCCTCAGGTGCTGCAAATCATCCCCATACTTAATCCCGAAAACAGTGAAACCCAAACTTGGATCCCTACATCCTGATCTCAGCTTGTCCAGCTCTTCAAGGCAGAAGATGGCCGTGCCGGGCTACGAAGAGAAGGTGCCTGAGAAGGTGAGGGAGACCAATGCCCAGAAGCTGCAGGTTGGACATGGGATTCTACAGAAGGGGTTATAGGGATGTAGAGGGGTTATATAAGAGGGATATCTAGGGGGTAGAATCCCTTAGGGATGTATACATAGGGTTATGCAGGGTTTGTTTTGGGATGCAGGCGTTCGGATTTAAGATGCGATTTGGAGTTTTCGGGGAGTAGGGGCTTTGAGGCTTGAGGCCGTGGAGACCTTGAACAGTGACGAGGCCGCACGGAGTTTGATATTAGTTTTGAGAGTTTTGTGGTTCACAGGTTCAATTAGGGTTCAGGCAGCTTTCAAGCGCAGACGGCAGACAACCCTAAGGCTGCAACGGCTGCAAGCATTGGCTGCTACCGATTCGGCCCATGAGACTCATCTCCTCCCCTTACCATGACCCTCCTACTAATGCATATTCCACCCCTCCAGTACATAGCATGGCATGATTTCGAGAGTATTCGTTGTTAATTACATGGTGGGGATTAGCACGTTGAGGTGCTTAACTGGGTGTCTTGAGCACGCAAGACAGGAGCTATTCTTGATAGAAGCATTCTGGCCCAATCAAGCATCTATGTGCAGGGTGAGGGGGACTTAGCAATTCTTGTTTTCCATAAGGAGAGCCCCAGTTGTCCTTGTTGGCCGTGTACTTCCTATTTATGCAGTGCTGGCCCATCAAGTAGAGTGGCCCAAGTGCAGTACTGTTGATGAACAAAGTACTTCTGTACCCGCAACTTCCGATGGTATGCACCAGGGCAGGGGCTTTTGGCAGTTCTTGCATTACAGAGGGCGCCTCAAGGACTTCTGAATATCCCTCTCAAACCGCCAAGCCTGCTGATCTCTAAAGCCCTAAGCCTGAATCCTAAACCTTGAAAGCCCTAAAGCCCTGAACCCCCAACCCCCCTAAACCTCTAAACTGCAAAGCTCTCAACCCTACATCCCCCAGCCGCAAACCCTCGAGCCTCTGAGCACCAATCCACGCATCGTTAGGCCGCTGAAAAGGAGCTGCAGGAGCTTCTGACAGCTTTGCTCCCTGGATTTTGTTTAATGTTACAAGGTTCAATGTCTAGGGTTTGGGTGTAGTGCACGAGCATGTGAATAATCACCATGAACAGCACAGGCCTCACATAAATATGACTGCATTGTACGAAAGGGCGTAGGGTTTGGGGCGTAGGTTTAGGGTTCAGCATTTGGAGTTTTGGAGGCGGTCTGGTGTTGCAGGTTTGGTGTTGGGCCTCGGGCTTAGAGGCTTTGGTTTACGCTTTGGATTTCGGGGTGGATTACGTGTTTAGGTTTGAAGTTTACGGTTTAGGGGTTTTGACTGTTTTTGGGAGCTCATGGCGTAGGGCTTCAGCGACTTCAGGGCTAAAGGTTCAGTGTCCAGTGGTGAAGGGACCCTAAAGATGAACGGGGACAATGCTTGTATTGGGCTCTTTGGATACCTCATCCTAGACCCTATGAATCATGCGTATTCCTATATCTTGCTACACACCCTTTAACTCCCTTCTTGCCCTATACAGGAACCATACAGCAGAAACAAAAACGGCATTTCCGCGGCCCCACAAGGACTGACTACCTTCGCGGTCAGCTCCCCGCTTACCTTGCTTGGTTTCCTTGTAGAAGCCTTAGAGGAGAACGCCTCATGTTTGGCTTCGGGTTCAGGGTTGATTGATTACATGTTGAGCTCCAGCAGATGCAATTAAGACATTTCAGAGACATTGTACGGCGAACGGCATAACCCGCTGCGCCCCAAACCCCAATCCCCACAACCCTGAAGCCTGAAACCTAAGCCCTAGACCCTAAAATCCTGAACCACCCTAGACCCTACAAGCCCGTGATATCCAACGAGGAAAAGCATCCAGGAAGCGATGAAGTGAGTCTGGTGGCTTTGTGCTCCAAGGAATAACCCTGAGCCTACTATTCAAGCAAATAACATCGCTACGATTCATATTTCTGATGGGCTTTGCAGCAGAATATGGTTCATGGTGGTCCTTTGTTTCTGTTGTACTATGTAAGTGTAAGTGTGTGTGTGTGTATGCGCCACATCCGAAGATGCAACACCTCCTTATGCTTGTCTTGGCCAGCTGTGTATGCCTTTCAGACAGATCCTACATGTTGTTGGGGCATGCTCGCTACCTCTTCGAAGAAAGTCCTGAGTCAAAGCTAGTGTGAAACAGATCTTACACCAAACCTCAGACCACAAACATCCGACCTCAAACCCTGCACCTTGCCTAAAGGGACTTTGCGAAACGCTGGCTGCAGTTTGACCCGGAGACATTTCAAACCACCGGCAGAGAGCGTTTGTCCGTTTATCCTACATGTCTGTTAAGCATGGTCACATCCTTGGGGAGCCTGTTCAGCTAAGGGCATCTGGGCAAATGATCATGACGTATATTGCAGAGGGAAGCATCAACGTGTTTGCCAAGATGCTGTTTAACAAAAGACACAGGGCAGCTTTAACATCTCAAGCGAGAAAGATTAAGAGCCTTGACTCCATGAACTAAGTTACGGCCGTCGTCCTGCTGCCTTCAGCAGCTCTTGTTCTGCTTCCCCACAAGACTGTCTTGTCAGCACGCTGAACCTTCCTGTTGATGGACAGCAGTCTGCATGACCCCACATACCCAAGCTGTCGGGAATTGTGTTGTGGCTTGCGCCCGTTAAACTCATGTAGTCCTTCTGTTCGAAAGTGCCTCAAGCCCACTCTCCTATCAAGATATTTTCCATCAAAGCAGTGCCCCACAGCCCTAAGCTGTAAATACTTGCTGGAGCGTGACGGCTGCCTCTATGCCCAAACATAAACCCTCCACCCTAGATCCTAAAGCCTAGAGCCTCAACTTCTCCAAGCCTTAAATGCTACAAAATTAGCAAGCCCTTAACCCTCAACCTAGGCCCCAGAGACAGGCTTAGACCTAGGCAGAGAGCCCATTTTCTCTTGAATGAGGTTTTCCCCTAATTTCTCACCGAGTTTCTCAAACTTGTGTTGGGTGGTCCCCTTGTGGGGCGACAGGAATTCGGAGAAATATCCGAGTAGGGGAAAAAGCTCTGGTAAAGGGAGCTTGGGCTCTTTGCGTGCCTCAGCGGCAAGCTTAGACCGGAAATCGGTCGACATGTACAGCCATGTACGGGCCTTTGAGCCAAAAGAACAGCTCTCCGCTTTAGGGTTAAACCTTCCACTATAGAATGTTGCCGCAACTTCAACAGCTATTTTTCACTATTTTGGTGTCAGCTTGTGCAGGGTGAAGGCCGCTAGAGCGTGTACGGTTGACAACTTCCAACTGCCTAGCCCGTGAGCCTTTTGGCATCTGGATGTGTTAGCAGCAAACAAGCCTTCAATCCAAGCCCCCCCCATTCAAGTTGAAAGCTCCAATCCACAATCCTAAAGCGTCAGATCTTTAGATGATGAAGGCAGCAATCATGAAACCCCAATGCCGCACCCCAAAGCCATAAGTTGCCATAGATCTTTCATGCCTTAACCCCACAGAAATTTCACTGCATGACTAGTTGGAGGTTCATGAGTAGTTTTGCCATGGTTTTAGAAGTGGGATAAAGGTGCTCATAACTTATGAGCCTCATTTTGGGGGAGTTCTCAACCCACTTACCTGAGGCAGGTTTTTCATCCCATGGGCCTGGGCTCGTTTTGATGAGCAGATCTAGGGTTCGGGTTGGAGGTAAGGCGGTTGGAAGGGTTTGGGAAGCTCAAGCCCCAGCGCTTTCGATAACCTTTCAACAACACCCCGTGCAGTGTTCGTCTGACTCACAGGCAATATGTTAACTGAATCAGTGGCCCGGAATCTTTTGTATGGGAATGTGTACTTCCCTTGTTATCCGAAGGTTGGAATATGAGCGAGGGTTGTTAAGCCCTGGAGCTGAAATCGGGACCCTTCTATGAGGACTTCAGGTGATGGACTCTGATTATGGCCCTAAAGGATTCCGAAGGAGCATATAGGGTATAGAGGGAGGCATAAACTACCTAACCCTGGACCTTAACTGACGGTCAGCCCTGCACCCCTACGCCACAAACCTAGGTCCCCAGCTCAAACCTGGAAATCCTGAAAATCTACACCGAAACATGCAACCCTGAACCCGAAGCCCTTGTTTCCTATCAACCATCCTACACCCTAAACCCTGCGTAGTTCCCATGCCTCGTCCATCCCTTGAGGAATAATACAAAAATCGCAACTGAAGAAGGTTAAATGAGCACCCAAATAATCCCTCTATGATTCCGGTTTCACTCCAGTCATTTGCAGCCTAAAAGCCCCAAAGCCCTATTCGAGTTTGATAGGCTCCAAACCCCTCAATCCCTAATGTGCCCCGATGTAAGCCCCAGTTCCCATTTCATGTTCAACTTTCTTTCCCCTTTCATTCTCCAGTTTCCTTCTCATTGAGGTCCCTACAACTACGCCCTTAACATCCCGAAGCGGTGAGCCCCTAGAATAATGTAGCAGCTTTTCCATTTTCCCATGTTTTGAGCCTTACATTGCTATCAGCTTCCATACCCTTCTTACCCAAAGAGTCTTGGGATTACATGGAGGCTAGAAAATGGGAGTTACTATAATATAATAGGGTATATATTGGGGATCATATAACCCAGATTCCTTTTCATTTTCCATTTTCTTTTCCATTTGATTTTCCATTCTTGGGGTTACCCCTAAACCCTAAACCTTATACAACCCCTATATACCCCCTATATAACCCCTATATACCCCCTACATAACCCCTATCTATTTATGTCTTGGGATTATTTCTTTCGTGAGCTTCGGCTCGCAGCTGACCCTGCCGGGCCCCCCTCGGGGATGAATTCCGCCTTTGTGGGCTGCCCCAAGGTGGGCACAGGGGGCAATTTCTTTGTGGGATTCGAGGATTGAACAGGTACTTTAGGGACTGTAGGGGATTTTGTCGGGGTGTAGGGTTGGGATTCGGCAGGTTCGGGTTAAGAGATATTGGGGGTTGAGGGGGTCTGGGGATGGATCCGATGGGGTTAATTAGGTCTAAGGTTTACTGGTACCTAGGGTTTAGACTTGGTGGGGTTCCCCGTAAGCCCGAAACCCGCAA